ACCTCGACCACGCCGATTCCCGCAGAGGGTTGCGCGAGCACCGCAGAAATCGCAAAAAACCTCGAGTTTTTGCACCTCGACCACGCCGATCCCCGCAGAGGGTCGCGCGAGCACCGCAGAAATCGCAAAAAACCATGGGTTTTTGCACCTCGACCACGCCGATCCCCGCAGAGGGTCGCGCGAGCAGGTTAGAAATCGCAAAAAACCATGGGTTTTTGCACCTCGACCACGCCGATTCCCGCAGAGGGTCGCGCGGGAACTTTAGAAATCGCAAAAAACCTCGAGTTTTTGCACCTCGACCACGCCGATCCCCGCAGAGGGTCGCGCGAGCACCGCAGAAATCGCAAAAAACCATGGGTTTTTGCACCTCGACCACGCCGATCCCCGCAGAGGGTCGCGCGAGCAGGTTAAACATCGCAAAAAACCTCGAGTTTTTGCACCTCGACCACGCCGATCCCCGCAGAGGGTCGATTTTCGTGTAGTGTCGTCGGCACTTGCAACTTGCACTTGACTCCTTGCTTGTTTCAAGGAGTCATTGCAAGGAGTCATTGCAAGGAGTCATTGCAAAGAGTCATTGCAAGGAGTCATGGCAAGAATTCATTGCAAGCAGTCATTGCAAGGAGTCATTGCAAGGAGTCATTGCAAGGAGTCATTGCAAGGAGTCATTGCAAGGAGTCATGAGAGCCATTGCAAGTTGCAAGGGGCCAAGTGCATGGAGTCAAGTGCAAGTCGCAAGTGCACGGAGTTAAGTGCAAGTTGCAAGTGCAAGGGGCCAAGTGCAAGGAGCCAAGTGCAAGGAGCCAAGTGCATGGAGTCAAGTGCAAGTTGCAAGTGCATGGAGTCAAGTGCAAGTTGCAAGTGCATGGAGTCAAGTGCAAGTTGCAATTGCAAGGAGTCAAGTGCAAGTTGCAATCCTTGCCATGACTCCTTGCAATGACTCCTTGCAATGACTCCTTGCAATGACTCCTTGCAATGACTCCTTGCCATGACTCCTTGCCATGACACCTTGCAATGACTCCTTGCCATGACTCCTTGCAATGACTCCTTGCAATGACTCCTTGCAATGACTCCTTGCAATGACTCCTTGCAATGACTCCTTGCAATGACTCCTTGCAATGACTCCTTGCAATGACTCCTTGCAATGACTCCTTGCAATGACTCCTTGCAATGACTCCTTGCAATGACTCCTTGCAATGACTCCTTGCAATGACTCCTTGCATGACTTTGATGATGATTCCTTGCAATGACACCTTGTAATGACTCTCATGAGAACAACTCAAGTGAACCCAGCGGAAGAACCCTTCGCCATGCTTTCGGGAAAACAATAGCGTCAAACACCGACTACGACCAAGTCGAGACACCGGCGTCGGCGAAGCCGCAGAACTGCTCGGCTCCTGGCAACAATCAGCACAGCAAAACAAACACCAGCAAAACTCTCCAGATTTCGATCCTGGCCTGTGGGTATAGTTTTTTTACGACAGCGGCAGCTAGGTCTGCCTTGGTCACGTTGCTGCCTGCGACCCATTGGCGCACATCCAGCTGTCGGGCGAGTGCGCGAAGTTGGGGTTGGGCTTTGGCCGCCACCTCTTGCTGCAGCCACGCTTTGCCATGCTGGGCCGCGCCAGCCTGAAGCCTAGCTACTTCGAGCTCCATGACTTCTGTTTGAGCCAAATCTCGACGATCATCCGCAAGATGCCACATAACAACCAGCCGTGTGCGCCATGCCCGTAAATAAGCCGTGTGCGCCATGCTCCCCGCAACTTCTTTCATGATGAGAACTCCTTGCGTCAAACTCCTACAAGTGAGTGGCCTGAAAGCATAACTCCCCAAGATGTGCGGTAAACTTGTTTAACCCCGGCCTGGCACATGCGCAAGTTGCTCTGCGCAAGTTGCTTTGCGCAAGTTGCTCTGTGCGAGTTGCAGTGTGTGCAAGTTGGCGCGAGACAGCACCAGGCAAGGTGCTCTGCGCAAACTGGTCGGTGCAAGTTGGTCTGCGCAAGTTGCTCTACGCAAGTTGCACTGTGCAAGTTGCTCTGCGCAAGTTGCTCCGCGCAAGTTGCTCCGGCAAGTTGGTCCCTGCAAGTGGCTCCCTGCAAGTTGCTCTGTGCAAATTGCGCTCCCTGCAAGTTGCTCTGTGCAAGCTGCTCTGTGCAAGTTGCTCTGTGCAAGTTGCTCTGCGTAAGTTGCTCTGCGCAAGTTGCTCTAGGCAAGGCGCTCTGCGCAAACTGGTCGGTGCAAGTTGGTCTGCGCAAGTTGCTCTGTGCAACTTGCTCTGCGCAAGTTGCTCTGCGCAAGTTGCTTAAAATGCAAGTTGCATCTTGCGACGCCCGCCCGCGGACCAGGGAGGAATCGAACCCGCGACCCGCCGGTTCCGGGAGCAGGCGCGCGAACCACGAGACAACTCCCGAGGACCAGTTCGAGCAACAAAAGTCGCAAAAAAACCTCGAGTTTTTGCAACCAGAAATCGCAAAAACCATGGGTTTTTGCACCTCGACCACGCCGATCCCCGCAGAGGGTCGCGCGAGCATGTTAGAAATCGCAAAAAAAACCATGGGTTTTTGCACCTCGACCACGCCGATCCCCGCAGAGGGTCGCGCGAGCATGTTAGAAATCGCAAAAAACCATGGGTTTTTGCACCTCGACCACGCCGATCCCCGCAGAGGGTCGCGCGGGAACTTTAGAAATCGCAAAAAACCATGGGTTTTTGCACCTCGACCACGCCGATCCCCGCAGAGGGTCGCGCGAGCACCGCAGAAATCGCAAAAAAAACATGGGTTTTTGCACCTCGACCACGCCGATCCCCGCAGAGGGTCGCGCGAGCAGGTTAAACATCGCAAAAAACCTCGAGTTTTTGCACCTCGACCACGCCGATCCCCGCAGAGGGTCGATTTTCGTGTAGTGTCGTCGGCACTACCCCGCCGCCCTAAGAAGAGATTTTAACTCCTCGCAAGTCAATTGCACTTGACTCCTTGCACTTGCAACTTGCACTCGACTCCTTACACTTGCAACTTGCACTTGAGCCGTGCCAAATACTCTTGTGTAAAAAGCGGTCCTATGAACTTGCTTTCGCGGACCCTTTCGCGATGCTTTCGCGACCCCATGTTTTGCTTTCGCGGGCTTTGTGTTCTCTAGAATTGCTTTCGCGACGCTTTCGCGGCGGACTGTCACACAGCATGCAGGCTTTCGCGGGTCTTTCGCGGCGGGACCTTCTTTGGTTACTTTCGCGATAAGCTTTCGCAAGCTTTCGCGGCCTGCGTTTTGGCTTTCGCAGGGATTCTATAGGACAACCCCATTTACTACTTTGTATTGTCAGGGTTTATGGCGCTGCTCACTTGACTCCATGCACTTGCAACTTGCACTTGACTCCATGCACTTGCAACTTGCACCTGACTCCTTGCACTTGCAACTTGCACTTGACTCCTTGCACTTGCAACTTGCACTTGACTCCATGCGCAGCTCGCAATGACTCTCATGACTCCTTGCAATGACTCCTTGCAATGACTTCTTGCAATGACTCCTTGCAATGACTCCTTGCAATGACTCTTGCAATGACTCCTTGCAATGACTCCTTGCAATGACTCCTTGCAATGACTCCTTGCAATGACTCCTTGCAATGACTCCTTGCAATGACTCCTTGCAATGACTCCTTGCAATGACTCCTTGCAATGACTCCTTGCAATGACTCCTTGCAATGACTCCTTGCAATGACTCCTTGCAACTCCTTGCAACTCCTTGCAATGACTCCTTGCAATGACTCCTTGCAATGACTCCTTGCAATGACTCCTTGCAATGACTCCTTGCATTGACTTTCATGATGATGATTCCTTGCAATGACACCTTGTAATGACTCTCATGAGAACAACTCAAGTGAACCCAGCGGAAGAACCCTTCGCCATGCTTTCGGGAAAAGGAAAACAACTTTCTATTGTTCCAGTACCCTTTACTAATCAAGTGCCAACATTACTTAGGCTGCCAATTCACCCCCTGTAAGTCGGGTTACCTCCCCATCTTAGTACAGGGACCCCCCCCCCCAAAGGGAGACGTTTAAAACAAACAAACATGGCAACTATTCCCCTGCTCACTTCCTGAGTGGATGGCCCAAAAAAAGTCTGAACTTTCCGTTTGCCACTAAAATGGTCTTCCCAAAAGTGTAAAGTTCATGAACTCAGGAAGGACGCCTGCAAATCAACGTGGAACCACAAAACCCACATTTCTCGAGGAAACTCCATTCTTGGTGGACCCCTCTTGGGTTCCGTGCTAATTTGCAGGGCAAATAAACAGCCCCACCTCCCCACCACCCAAAAAAAACCAAAACGCGGAAAAAATCGTGGCTGCCCACCCCCTGAAAAAGATGGGGACGGATGTTTCGGGTTGGAAACCATCATAGAGCGAGGTTCGATCCGAAAGCGGAGGGTGGAGGATTCGTTTTGGCTTCCTTCGGCCTTCCTTTACTTCAACTTGCTTCTGTCCACTGGATGTCCAACATGAAATATGTCCATGTAGTCATGGATTCCCTGTAAAAACCGACAGGGCAAATACAACGACAAAATGAAATATGTCCAGCTATAGATTCCCTTTTAAAAACAGACAGGGGAACGTACGTCATACAAGACATATTCATGTCAGCAAACGAAGTAAGCCACCATTGATTGAACAAAAGTATCTATTGGCTTCCATGCAAAAGGAGGCCACTGTCTGTTTGAGCAGCGCCCAATCAAAAAGCGAATGGAAGTTCTGAGCCGCTTTGGTAGAGAGCAAATGGAAAACCACCCCCCGAACCACTCAATTCAACCACTGGGCTCCAAACCACCAAGGCAGACCTGACAGGCAATCTCCCATGGAGCGTTTTTCGTCCCGAAGAAGACAAAAGAAAGAGTCTATATCCAGCCGTGACAGGCTCCCTTCAACTAACCCCAAGCCCGGGGGTTCAAATCCCCAAACCACCAATCCAAACTAACTAAAAAATACCTGAAGATTGGAATGGCTTCCTAGACCAGCAACTAACGCCCCTTTTTGTGCCTTGCCACTGGTTTATGGGTCATCAAGAAACAAGGGGCCCCTTCGTTGGGCTTTGGGTCTCCTTCGGCTTTGGAGACACACGGCTTCGAAGGAACTCGCGACCAAGCTGAGGCATCCGCAAAGCCAAGCTCTTCACCGTCCGGGGTGATGGCTAACACCAGCTCGTCCCCGTGGAAGATGCGCACGCGAGCATCCTCGCATCGAACGGCTTGGAGAAACAAAAAGGAAACAAGAGGGGACCCACAAATGGTTTCTTTCTCTTGTGGTACCATAATCTTGGGATCCCTCAATTGGATGGTTCAAAAGGTCGCGATTGCACCGTTTGGGGGCCCATGCTTGGTTTAGGGTGTTTTTTGTTGAATCCCAAGCGTTTCGTCGCTATAGTAGGTAACCAACAAGTTTCCTCTTGATTTTTTAAAGGGTGGTTCCTTTGGTTCCCTGCAACACCAGCTAAATGGATCCACTTGCACCCTAATCTTCTAGTGGTTCCAAAGGTCGCGATTGCACCCTACGGGTGACCCAGAAAATGGTTGGTTTACTCACTTTCGATCAAGTCAAGTCGACAAACGATTAATGTTTACCACTCAAATTGTTCAAACTCAAAAAAGTGACTGAAGTCCAGTGGTTTACTTCCATTTGCTTAACTCCACTGGACATTTAAAAAAGTTCCAGTAGTGAGAGATTCCCACTAAAGCCAACAGGGCAAAATAAAACGCATTTTAAGCAAATGGAAGATTACAGTGGTATGATACAATGTTTGCACCCTAAGAATCCTGAGACCCTCAGATGGATGCCATTCTGAGGTCCCAAACCTTCCAAATATCCCCTCAAAGCCTCCAATGGAGGTTCCCATGATGCTTAGCATACACCCTAGCTGGGGTGCCCCACATGGGTTCTACCAAAGGGTTTGCTTCCCTTTCACTTAATTCCTACTTATCGGATTTGCCCTTCCAGCAGTCTGATTCGACCTGCTCCAATCGAGGGTCCTGTCTGTGATTGATTAAGGTGGGTTCTGTTGTTTGGTTCCTTTGCCCGCATCGGATTGGAGACCCTCGATTGGAGAGGTCGAACCGCACTGGGGGACCCAAGCAGGCACATGTACCAAGATTCTTCGGGTACCTGCGAGTTCGTAGGGAAGCTCGTTTCAGGATGATCGGTCGCACCAACAAGCAACCAAGTGCTGTACTTTGGTTTGAAGCAAAGAAAATGGGCAGGCACTCCTGGGAAGAGTCGTGAAGGGGTACGGTCCATACTTTGTGGGCAAACCCCCAAGTGCTTCGGGCCAGAATAAGAGGTTGCCAAACGCCAGCTACAGGAGAGGAGAGTCTTTTTGGCCCATTTGCAGATTCTCCGGGTTTCAAACAAGAATGGGTTCAGGGCACTTTGCTTCTGTTGGTTTCTATGACGAAACTTCGGTAACGAGTTCATTTCCGGGCCTCGAAAAAAAACGAAGGTTCCAAACCTCCGATTCCGGTCTCATGACTGCTTCGGGTGGGATGAGTTTAACTTGTTTTGCTTGAGTTCGGAACATCCTGCATCCTTCCAGACACCCCTGGCCAGACGAAATAAGGATTCTGCATTACCAGGAGAGTAACATATCCTTCCATCCCGGTGAATCCATTTCCCTGTTTAGGTAACGACAGGAACCACCCAATTGAAAAGGCGAGAGGCAAATTGTTGGTTACCCACTAAAGGGATCATGGGCATACTTTGTCTTTCGCCAAAAAAAAACAAGCAAATTCAACGTATCCCAGAAACATAGATTCAAAATTCCTCCCACCCCAGATTCATCAATGACACCCCTCAATCTCACATTTGAACCCACAAAATACCTCGCCCCACTGCCCCTCAAAATCCTACGCACACAGAAAGTGGATTCAAGATTCTTCATCCGCGGATGGCGCGGCAAACTTCCTCCAGATAATGTTGACCACATTTTGATCAGCCCCAGTTTATTAATATAGGGGTGCGTCCATGCAAAGTAGTCTGATTCCCCACATTTCACCCAGGGACACCCCCCTAGTAACAAACTGGGGTTGAGTAGTACTGTGGATGGACAAAATCCTGCACCACTTTCAAACCATGAAAAACCAGTGTTTGTTGGTATTTACAGTTCATTCCAGGGCGTCTTAGTCTGAGGTGGTGCGACATGGATTTCGTCCAGCCGCAGTATGGGATCAACATCTAGGTCCTCCAGTAGAGAGGTTAGAATGAGGGTACCCTTTTTCTGTAGTCTATTTTAGTAGGGGCCCGAAGCCTCCCCCAAAAAAGAAACGGCAAGAGGGCACTACTGGGACCTAGATATTCGTCCTCAGCCACGAAGGGCGACCGAAACGGACGTCGACGACTCCGCCGGGCGCAACCGAGGCGCCATGGGGTGCTTGAAGGGCGGTCTGGGCAGCCGCTTGCCGTTGAGCCGCGTGCCGTTGGTGGACATGTCCTGGACATAGCCTCAATTCCAAAAAAGGGATACGGAAAATAAAGGATGCGGAAAACCGACAAAAAAATAAGGCAGGGAGCCAAAACAATGCGTTCAGCTCGTGGAATGTTGGATGGGGTGTGACCTGAAAACTTGGCACTAGATTTTCCCGTACTCAGTTGCAGGGGATGGGACTCAGAAATAACATGCGGTATACCTTTTGGGACCAATAAACAGTCGCACAGATTTGAGGTTCACCACGGGTCGGCTTGAGCGGTCCCGGTGGTACCTGGGGGGGATTTTGAGCCCGCCCAACTTGGGAAGGGCAGGTAGGAGTCATTTGGGGGCGGGCCACACCCATATGGCTTCTAAAATGAAGGATGAGGGAGTTTGTTTGCTTCCCTTTGTCAGTAAAGATAATCCTCAAACAACATATGTGTTCTTTAAAAAACAGGATGAGGGAGTTTGTTAGCTTCCCTTTGTCCCCCCCCCCCCAAAAAAAACATCCCCACATGGTTGTAGGAAAATAAGCTTTAGATTGCTACCAGCCGATGAATTAGCTTTGGAAGATACATGTTTGTTGTATTACATGTTGATATTTCAATGAAAACCTGGACTGAAACAGGAATTGAAACCCAACTCATTTTGTGAGTGGAGTTGCAAAAAACCAACAGTTCAATTTTAATGTTCTTTTTGCCACTATAGACTGGGTCTTCCCAAAAGTATCAAAGTTCAGGAACTCAGAAAGTGAGCACCGCGCGAGGGCTCCGCTCTTTCGCTCTTGCGCGCGCCTTGGGCTTTCGTCTGCGCATCTCAGAGGTCTCTCTGACCGAAAAGTCGCGGAATTTATAGTTGAGGGTGTGCCGCATCAAAACTCAGCCATACGGACGTGTCAAATCGGTCTACCATCTCGCATCGCTGTTGGGCTTCCTTTTTGGCGCATTGAAAAAACTATGGGGCTCAAGTGAGTGCTTCTGGCTGCGATTCAGCTTCCCAACTTGGTGATTTGGAGCCTTCGAGTTTAAACAACCTAATGGCCATGGCCTGTGGTTGGGCCAACGGTTTCTCATGATTCTCCAATGGAAATACTGTAACAAACGTTATGGCTTCAACCATGGCTTCATTTCGTGGTGCGAACGGATTTCGTTCATCCACAGTATGGTCGTGGCTCTTGCAACAAGAGCCCTGTCAATAGCTGTCTAACATCCGTCTTGAAGGGTTAATAGCCATATCAGCTGGTTGCCCGCCCCAAGGGGTGTGTCAATTTGCGGAACCCAGTGGTTGTTTCTGAAAGGGAAAGCAACAAGACAACCATGTCATGGGGCAGTTCGTGTGAGACCCCCATATTGCAGTTAGACCATTGGCACAAGAGTCAGAGTCACATCTGACACCTCCTTTTGAGGCAAAGCTGTTGCACAACTCGAATTTCGCCGCGGCATCTCGATTTAGACACCATCCATCCTAGACCTCCAGTGGGTATACGTCAAAACAGAGCCAAATCGTGGTTTTCCTTTTGGTTTCCCGTTTCAAAGGGTACCTGGACGTTCGGCCAGGTGAACTGGTTAGCCGCTTGGGTCATAAGCCACTAACAACAAGGTCAACTCTGCTCAGGGTGAATAACCATTGGGTTGTACGGTTATACTCTAGGTTGCCACCAACTTAACTTGGCAACGAATTCACCCAAGCCTCAACCAACACAACTCGCATTTCCCAAGGAGGAACCTCATTTTGGACCCCAAACCCAGAATTATGGGTTCCGATCCGGGGCCCTTTGCAAACCGAAATGCACGCTAAAACTAGGAAGGCAGTCCCCCACTTTCAAGGCAGAACCACCTTAAGCATAGGGAAGGGTCCACCTCAGAAAGTTTTTGTTTCCCGGTATATACCATGATTCTCTCAGTTGCCCCGCAAAGGGACCCCCAAAAAATGCGATTACTGTTGAGGGTCACTAAAAATGGGAACCCAAAAGAGGAAACTGTCTTTTGTTGAAGCCTGGCCCAGTGGATCCAGGCAAGCCACATTACGGTAACCAACAAATGTCCTTTGGGTTTTTCCATGGGGTGCTTCCAACCTTGTTACCTACTCTCAGATGCCCAGTGGCCATGGGAACAACAAACAATCCTTCTTGGGCTGGTTCAGTTCAAACAAAAAACCCAAAACCCAAATAAAGGGCCATCTGGGGATAACAAAAAGGGCCTCCTTTTCTGGTTGGTTCAGTTCAAACAAAAGCCCTAAAACCGAACACAAGTTGAACAAGGGCGGAGTCCGCTGGGCAACTGCGCTAACTAAACATCTAACTGGAGTCACTTCGGGTAAACAATTTGGAAGTCGCGGTGTCCCGTACGGGTTTGCCAAACCTCGCTCCATTTTTCGGTGGTCTGAGCCAGGGCCCAGCCAGCTGCGAGTTGCAATATGTGCAGTTAAATAAGTATATATATATATATATACACATGCGGAAGAACCTGTCCGCACCTTGTGCATGTCCAACACATTCCAAAATAGCTCGAGACCGACCGCCGTCGAGCATTCAATGTCCACTTCTGACCGCAAAAACAGCGCTGGCGCCACCTCATGGGCTGCACATGGTGCACAGCACCTGCCGACGTTTTTCTGCGACGCGGGCCATCTCATCTAGGTCCCCCCAAACCGGTTCATTCCCAGATTCCCGTGGTTTCCTTGGGAATCCCATGGAATCCCCCTCAAACCGGCTCGACCACATTCCCAATGGCGCCAAGATAACTCGGTCCTCCAGTCTTGGAGGTTAGAATAAGGGTACCGTTTCTTTTTCAGTTTTGTCTATTTTAGTAGGGGAACGGGTCCTCCCCCCAAAAAAGAAACGGTAAAAGGGCACTACTGGAGGACCAAGTCTTGCTTAATTGTTTTCGGGGTAGCATTTTCACGTTGGCTTACGCTTCCATTTGCTCCAGCCCCTGGAAAAAATGCAAAAGGACTCTAGTAGAGATAGATTCTCTTACAACCAACAGGGAACAATACTAGGTCCTCCAGTAGAGAGGTTAGAATAAGGCTCTGTAGTCTATTTTAGTGGTGGCACCCTCCCCAAAAAAAGGGTAAAAAGGCACAACCGGGGGACCTAGAATACAACATACTCTTAAGCAAATGCAAGTCAAGAAAACCAGAACAATCACCATGTTGACTTGGTAGCTGTTGAACCCCCCTGCAAAAAGCTTAACTTCTTTGGGGTTTAGTAGATAACACCTTTCTTTCCCAAAAAGTTGAAGTCTAAAGATCCAACCCAATTGCAGTCAAGTTGAGACCACGGGGCGTACGATCGGAAGCCTTCTAGCTCAACCACTGGGCATGTTTTGGGAAAACAGGCTCAACGGCGTGTGGTGTGAAGTTTGATTGGGGACTCGGAATGGTGAACGTCCGAGAAGGGGATTTATGTCCACCAACCTGGAAATTATCATAGTGGCTATGACAAATGGAAGAGTTGTTCCTCAGAATTCAGGCGGCTATGACAATTGTGCCAAGCTAACCTGGGAGAGCTTGCCTCATAATTCATACCTGGACCCTCAACCTACCCATAAAAATGCAATATCACCCCATAACTTTGGGGGTCAAACCCACTTTGAGGGTTCAGATCGCCATTTCCTTCGTTCCCGCTTGGGGAACCCAGACACTTCTTCACTTTTTTCCGGTTTGTTTTTTCTCGGCGCAGAAGACAGATCCGACCCCGAGGCCTGGAATCCAGAAAAACTCACCGGCTCGGGAACGAAGTTCATGGGAAGAACTACCTGAACCCCAACTTAAAAATTGGTTTGACCCCCAAAAAACCTGAAAAATCCAACGTAAAAATGGGTTTCACCCCCCAAAATGGGGTGATATCCAATTTTTAGGTGTAGTTTGAGGGTCCAGGTACCCAAGTTCAAGTTGGCATTTGCAGGGTCCAACCCAGTGTTTTCTGGGGAAAACCATTGCTGTGTTGGAGTGGGGTTGATCTTGGGTTTGACATGTGACCTTTTAAGCTTCAGAGATGATCGAATTGTGGAATCTGCTTAGCGGGGGGTAGGTACGTTTCGGGGGGAGGGGGGGGTGGTGGGGCCTTTTAGGGTTTGTAGGCAGCCTCAGGGGGCCTGCTGGAATTCCACCCCCCCCCCAAAAAAAAAAAGACCATGGAATATCTCTGGAGGCTTGGTTTTAGAGGGTCACCTTGGTGTTACCAGGGGTGTTCCCATTTCGGTTGGAGTATCTCGGGGATTCTTGCAGTGTTTCTCGGGAAACCCAGAAAAACGGGGCGCAAGGAAACCAAAGGGGCGCAAGGAAACCAGGAACCTGGACCCTCAAAACTGCCCATAAAAATGGGAGATCGCCAACCATAACTTTGGGGGGTCTTTGACCCATTCTTGAGTTGGAATTTTGAGGGTTCAGGAACACACCATGAAGAGGAGCTCCTTAAAAATTGGAGAAGAAAAAAAATAAGTAGAACAACGGGGTTGTTCCACTTTGTGAGGGTTCTCGTTTTGGGGAAGGAACCACCCCTGGGTTTAAGTCTACTCTGGGAGTTGGCTTCGGCAGCGCATCTTGGCAATCAATCAAACGCTCTGCAAGAAACCTTCCATTGGTGATTCCACACACCCATCAAAAAAAAATGTCTGCAGTAGTTCCTTTGAAACCAAGAATGACCCCAAAAACCACTATTCGTTTCAGCAAATGACAGATCCGCAAAGTGTCTGTGTCTCCCAATGGATCCATTTGCCTGGCACACTCTGCATCGGACAGACAGAAAGAGATGCTTTTTCATCCCGCATTTGTTGGGGGGTGCTGGAGGGAGATCCCCCTTTCTTTTGGCCCGCTTGGATTCCTGAATTGCTACGGTGGCGTCTTCCTGGATGAAGTGCCTTTGTTTTCTTTTTGCATGCCGTTTAGCGTCGCGCAGAGACGCTCCGCATCGGAGAGAGAGAGAGAGGCTTCTTCCTGGAAAAAGGGTCCCTTCACCTTCGCGCGAAACCAGCCGTTGTCTTTCTGGAATCCCGTCCTGGGGTAGGTACAAGGGACCAGGGCGTGTTTGAGAGCCTCTTTGGGGCGTTTAGTTCGGGAACCTAGAAAACACCCCCCTCAAAGCTTCCATTTGTTTCAGCCCCTGGAAAAAAACACATATTTCCAGTAGTGATCGATTCCTTTCAAAACCAACAGGGGAAAATGTAAGAATATGCTGAAACAAATGGAAGAAAGCCCTCCACCCTCATTCTTTCCTGTCCCAATTCGGGAACCTCAGGCAACCCCCCCTCAAAGCGACTCTCCGACTCGAGGCGCGTCGGGCTCGTCGAGGCGGTCCATACGCACCTTCGGCTCCTGAAGTAGCCCGAACAAGCTTGCTTTTGGGTGTGTGTATCTCTATATATGGATGTGAGTCAAAATTAGGTACCCAGAATGGCTTGCCCTGGCAAATGGAAACATGGACTAAAACCTGCGGTCCCTTGTTGGTTTAATTTTGACCTATACCCATATAATTATTGTGCGGCTGCTATTTTATCATGGTCAATCGTACTTTTTGTTTTGTTGACACAAGGCATGCGCGAAAGCTCCTCCCCTTTGCAGCCATTTCCCTTTGGTTTCCCTTTGCAACCACCCCAGAAACCCAGAAAGGGCGTGATTGGAAAAAGACACCATACGGGGACCCCAAAATGGCGCGCGCCCCATTGGATTGAAGCAACCTGAAAAGGGGCACCAACTCCAAACCAGTACTTTCCAACCGGTGGCATGGTGGCAAAAAACTGTGTTTCTTCCAGCCCCCTACTAGAACCAACAAAACCATAGGCCAACAACCGTAAAGGAAACCGCATTCATGGCATTGTCAACAGTTGCTTAATCCAAGCCTTCGTCCAGGTCCTGATTGAAACTCAAGATTGTGTATGCCATATCCTTACACAACTCCTGATAGCTCCGAAAGGCTCCCTCTCGTAAAAGCGAATTGGGATACCCAACTCCGTGACTGCCTAACCACCAGCTAGACAAACAACCAATTGCTCGCTGGTTCACCACCCTTCAAGGAGACTGCCTAACCACCAGCTAGATAAACAAGTGCACCACGCTTCTATCTCGAGGCTTATATTCGAATGCTTTCCTCTGGATGCGGCCTATCGATTCTCAGGATGTGTTGGGCCGATAGCCTTTGGGCTTGAGGTTTTTCCAAGTTTATTTGCCTGTGGCTGGGGTTGTTTGGTTCCAAGCTGCTAGCTTGAACATCCAAGAAACTCATCTTGGTTGACGTTGGATCGGGAGCAAAAACTGAGTTTTTAGCAGTTCCGTGGGGATTTCCCACTAAACCACAACAATCAAAAATGTAAAATGCTTCCCAACAACAACCATGTCATGTTCAACTGGGAGGAGCCTTGGACTTCAAAGGGAAACCAAAACACGTCTTTGTTATATGGATGTGGCTCAAACAAATGGAATTCCAGAATGGGTTGCCCGATCGGTGATTAAGTGGAAAAATGGACCAAAACCTGCGGTCTGCCGCTCCTGCTTGATTTTGAGCCACACCCATATACGTGTGCTTTGTGAGTTGGTACCCTTTCATGTCTTTGGTTCAGTCTAAAAAAATAAACGAGTTCCAGTGACAGATCCCTTCAACATATTCGATCCAACACGTACTTGAACAAAGCGATTGAACATAATGTTGTCTTCCTAAACAGGAAGCACTCAGCAAATGGACCCCAGGGCATCCATTTACCTGAAAAAGGCCGGTAGGCAAGGGAATCAGCGTTTAACAACCAAGAGGAAAATCGATCGAAGGGTTACAGTGACGAACCGGACTCCTGGGCTCCACTGGGTTTCGGACAACCAGAAGCAGCACATCCGGGCTTCCAACTGCCTCAAATCCAAACCCGCGAGTCCGCGTCCAAATCCCCTTAACGGGCTCTCTGAGCAGGAAAGCCACAAGAAAAACCCATGATTCGGACTTGAGCTTGTCATAAAAAAGGGAACCAAATAAAAGAAGGCTTCAAAGCAGTGTCTGCTGTAACAGGCTGATGAACCATGAATTTTGGGTGGCCATTCCCCCCCCCCCCAACCCCCGCCAAAAACCAAAAAAAATGCCCCCCCCCCCAAAAAAAAAGTACTAGATAAATGGCCCCCCCCAAAAAAAAAACAACAACAACAAGCTAGGTAAATTGGATCTGAAGCCGGGGACTGGGGTCATATCCAAGCCCCAGCCTCACCCCTCCCATGAAAAAACGGGCGACCTCGGCTCCTGGATGGGCAGCGGCACCGGCTCCCACTCCCGAGCGCCCAGCAGCGGCGCTGGGGGCAGCGACGCCTCGCTTCGCTGCCGGCGAGGTGGGCCCAGGGTCTGAAAAGCCAAGATGGGCGCGGGGGGGGCTGAATTGGATTTTACCCAGGTCCTCCAGATTTGAGAGGCCAGATTTGTTTGCTGTTGTCTATTTGAGTAGGGGAACCCTCCCAACCAAAAAAGGGTACAAGGGCACTACTGGGGCACCTAGCTACCCACCACCAGGTGGTTTGTCACTTTTTGTGTGTGGTGTGGTGGGCTCAAGATCCAATTTTCTGGTTCTGTTAGAACCATTTCCCTGCCAGAAAATGCGGATCAAATCCAAAGCAATACAAACCAAGGAGCAAGCAATCCGATTCTAGGGGCAGCTTCCAATTGTCAAACCGAGAATCCGATTTTTCAGAAAACCCATCAGAACACCCAGAGACCGGTCGCAAAGAACCATGATTGAACTGAATGGGGAGTCAACCTCTAGAACAACAGGGGACCCCTTCCATTTAGATGGGTTTCTCAAAAAATTGGGGCCGCCACATCAGATGGGTCTATTAGGGGCGACCAGGGGCCTTATGGTCGCCCGCTTGAGTAGGATGTGCGTTTTTGGGTTTCGCTGACTCACTCAAAACCAGAACAAAAGACGCGCCCCATTACTCACCTTCAAAGAAGTCACAAAAAAGGGAACTCACAAGGAACCGATCAAGAGGTGCGATCCAGTCGATTCGCTTTGGTTGCAAGCGAGTGTTGCGTAGGTACAGAAGTCCACTGGAGGTCACGTGTACCAAGATTGACAACTCACATGGCATGGGATCTGCTTGCCAAGTTGGATCCCTCACTACTTTTTGTCTTGAAGACATGGGTATGAATTTTGACTGGGGACCCGTGGGTAGACATCATTTAGATGGGAATAACAATTCAACCACAGTTTTGGGGAATTTCCTGTTCAAATTGGCCCTGCAAATCCAGATTGCCCAATACCGTGACCCACTGCATGTCGCCATAAAACAGGCCGAGTACCCCTCGTGAGAGATTGGTCGCGGAATCGCCACCGCAGCCGCGGTGCTTTTCTATCAAGGCTCACTCCCGATCAAGTGGATGGGCCCCAAACAAGTAACCAAACTTTTAGGCCAGGAACTGAGGAAGTACGAGAAGCACAGGGATATCAGTCGCAACCCAAAAACGTGACAATCGAGTCCCACAGAACTCAACGAGTGAGATAGTGACAAACCAGAGGACACCATCCACAGAAAAACCGGGCAAAAATCCCGAGTAGTTAGCTGCTGCGGCCATTACGCCTGGAAGCAGCAAGCTGGCAAAACTACCATGACACCACCCGAGTCACAATCAAAACCTGGTATTAAAATGGTCGACCAAACCCAAGGTAGCAATTTTTGCCCCGGATATCCGCACAAATTCTGGCAAGAACACTGTCCCTTACCAGCCTTCACTTAGCCAGGGAAACCATCATGTAAAACTTAAAGGTGGAAACACCTGGTTTCCTACTATGGTGGCTTGGCGCGGTGCTTGCCTAGCACTCCCTTCCTGCGCTTCCTGGACCGGGGAAACTGGGCGTAGGCCTTTCCGGTAACTTTCTGAGTCCTCCCCATCCTCCCCTTCGCTACTTTTTGGTAGAAAACCAGCTGGTGTTTGCCACTAGGTGTTACATGATGGCTGTTTGCCGGGGTTACCTACTGTAGAGACAACTGACGGACTGGGATTTTTCTTCATTTCCACTGCTGTCTAGGGTACATGTCACATTCTGAACCCACAAATCCTTCTTTCCGAAACACCACCAAAAGCAGGAATCGTGATGCGTGTTTGAAAAGAAGGCTGCTTGAACAGAACGGGCTAGACAAACCCGAGTTTTAGGATCCCCAGGATCTTCCTTCAAACACCCGCGAAAAGTCATGGCGCCCTTCTAGGTTGGTGGGCCACGGCCAACCCACAATTTAATCAAATTGGACGTGCGGGTAACTACGGGTAGGTTGGTTGTGCATTTTCAGGTAACCCCTCTTTTCCAACAAGGCCCCTGGACCCTCAATACGCCTAAAAAAGGTGTTCCTGGCCCAAGATTATGGCAATCTTCCTGGGTGTTTGAGGGCCCAGGTACCCTAAAAGGCCCAGACCCCTTTGTTCGCCAGCCTCGGCATCGAACCACTTCAACTTTGGGCAGTCCACCCACCTGGCCACGGGAAGGCGACCGTTCAGAGGCCCTGGAATGATACGAGCCCCTGGTAAATACCAGCATGCAAATCATGGGTTTCCCGTGTTATCAAAGTGCGAAATGGAATTTGTCCATCCACAGTATGAGCTGAGTAGTTGACCTTCTGCTGAACTTCACCCCTAGCACTGGCAGATGGCACAAACAAATGCAACGGTGCGACATAGTTGGGTCTACGTTGGGCACATTTCAGCCACTCTAAACTTGGAAAGGTCTATACTTGGGTGTTCAACCAACTCAGTGGGTTGTAAGGGGACGATCAACTCAGTTACCCCAGGCAAATAACCATGGTTGCAGTTTGCTACGCAAGAGGTATCCCACGGTTACCTGAAAAGTAAAGGACTTTCGAACGATTGGCCAAAAAGAAGTCCAGGAACTTGCCGTTTACCACTAAAATGGCTTCCATTTGCTTGAGCCACCTGGACAAAATGAGAAAAAATCCAGTTGTGCTAGATTCCCTTTAAACCAACAAGGGAAAATAAACATCCTTTTTAAGCAAATGGAAGTTGGTCTTCCCAAAAGACCAAAAGTCCAGCTCAGGGAGTGAGCTTACTGTGGACGCAATCCTGCAGTTCTCCCAGTTTAAAGGTGCAGGGGGTGTTGTCTTTCAGCAGGGCTTTAAGGGGTAGTGCCAACCCAGGATTAGTAAAACACAATGCATTTAATATGGGGGTGGCCTAGCCGGGGTTCAAATCCCCAAACCACCACTCCAAACCACCAACCAAGGGTTGCATGATTGAACAGGGCTTGCAAACAACTTGCTGGGGCGATAGGTAGGGAATGACAGAGACCAGGTTTTCGGGAATGAACCGTTTTGGGTTTCCCTTCAAGAAACCCATAGGGAAATTGTTTAAAGGGGTCATTTCCTCATTCCCTGCTGAGAACCAGCGCAAGTGACAGTTGAGACCAATTATGAGTGCCCCCAGAACATGGTCCCCGAGAAGAAAATCAGGAAAACGCAGCACTTGCATGTTGTGTAAGTTCATTTTTTGTGGGGGGGAAATTGTTGGTCGATCTGTGGTCCCTGAGCAAATGTGAGAGGGTTCTCGGCTAATTCCTCCTAAAGCACTTGAGTATTTCAGGTGGACAAAGCATCGGCATTCTTCAATTGAAAAACCCACCCGCGTGTCAAAACAGGGATGGACCCTCAGCGAATCCGTATCTTTCCGTTAGGCTTCCATTTAAACCTGAACAGGCGTTCTCGTGGTTTTTCCAACGCTTCGTGTGGTAGCAAAACATATTGGTGTAAAGGACTAGAAACCAAACACATGCCAACTGTGAAGCGGTTACCGTGGCCACAACCGGAAACGCGGATTGTTCTCATCGAATCGCCCATGGCTGCAAACTCTAAAAGTCACGTCGTGAACAGATGCGCCGAAATGCGACGAAACCATAACGTTTATTGGTATTCACGTAAGGGAATACAAGCAGAAACCGTTAGGTTTTTCAGGTGGTGCGAGCAAAGGAGCGGATTGCACCATCCACAGTAGGGCCATGGCAAATCGATCTGGGGCGCTGGGCCCTCTAGAAAAAACAAAGGCCACAAGCTGTAGCAGTGGAAGAAAAACGCGACACGATTATTGGAGTACCTCCCTTCTTGAGTGGATTTGCAAAGTCCAGTGGCCAAACTGCGTGTTCGACGATCAAGTCCGAAACGGCTACAGGCATATGAGCAGAAAGTTGGTCATGAGGCCAACGAGCCGTTGACATCCGGCCAAGTTTGTGTACTTTATTTGTTTAAGATTCTGATTGAAACCAAAAACCACACAAACATATTGCTCAACTTGCAGCCAACGGCCATTGCCGAGAGTCATTTGGGCGCGTGTGCTTTTCGGGCATCCCCACCCCCGCCCGCCCGGTACGAGGGAACTATATTATAAATATGTATAGTGTGAACCGGCTTCGCGTTTTGATAGCGAAATCGTTTAATAAGACTTGTCCGACTTTGAAGAGTCCAGCCATGTGGCTTTGACTTGCATTCTAGCGTCTTCTTTTTGATTTCTTGATTTACAGCTGGTTACGGCCGAGAAGGCGCCTGGATGTATCCCTTTGGTTTTTTAAAACTTTTAAAGACTGAATCCTACGATTTCCTTCTTTCAGTGGCCCGTGTCTTAGAAGTTTTTAAGCTATGTTTACCCTGGATGGAGCCTGACGGGAGCTCCTTTAAAAAGGCAAATGGTCTTCCGCCACCCTCTGTCCTGTCAGGTTCCGCGTTACTTGGTGGGAGTGTGAAGGAAAACCGGTCCCCTCTATTGGCCTGCTACGAGCGGAGTCCCAGCGTCATTCGACCGGCATTTCAGCTGATTGGAAGAGGAGTGTGAGGAACACTGAAGGATGAATCCGAATTTTGGCTCCGGCTGGCACTCAGTCGCCCTCCATGCGTTTACCGCATCTGGAGATCCTAGTTTTCACACCCCGTTGCCCCCTTCGACAACTGTCAAAACTGTCAAACAAGCATCGCAGCACTCTGCTCTTATGTGGTTCTTGGCGTGTGTGGTAGTACTAGCGACCAACCTGAGTCAGCCTTCAGCCCTTGGCAATTGAGCCCAAAAGCGCGGTCCCTTCGATTCACACGCGGCAGGAACTCAAGCAAGAATTAAGCCCCCCCACGGCCACGGCATCATCATCTGCCAAGCATGCGCAGCAAACGGCTGAAGCGCTGGCCTTGGCCTTATGGTGAAGCATCAATGACCAACCAGGGCCGGGCAAGATTCAAGCCTTTAACTGCATCACGGTTCGGTGCAAGAGGTGTACGCGCCAAGCGTGACCGGGCCCGGGGGCATCCAACTGCTTCACATGCTGAATATCCGCCTCAGGACCATGCAAACTCGGGAAGCCGTCGGGCTGGGTGGTTTGGATTTGTGGCTTGGCATTTAGGAATTTTGGGGGCGCTTTCCCATTCAGGCTCTGCAAGAACCTGGGTTTCCAATCCCCAAACGACAAATCCGCATTTTCAGACTTACCGCAGCGCGCTTTTTGGGAAAACAATCAACTTCCGCAGCCCCGTCTTGAGAGTCGCAACTTTTCCGAACGTGGTACAAGAACCGCGCTTCCACAACCGGCTGGAACTTGCTTCAGTGCGAAAGCTATCTCAATGCAAATTTGGCGCAACACTGTTTAGTCTTTTGATGTTAGAACTGGCGAGTCGCTTTTGGGCTGGAGCAGCTCGCTTTTCAGGATACTCGCCACATTGCAACACGTCATGATTGCCAAGCTCAGGGGTATGCGCTCCGGACACGACCGCTCAAACGCATCGGACCCCTGAACTCTAGGATTTTCAAAAACTCTACAAAACGGATCCAGAAAATAGAAATTTGACAGTTCTATTCTATACTTTCCAACAAGTCTCTAAACATCGGAATCATGAAATTTAGAACTTTCAGAAGCCTGAGAACTCAAGCAAATCTACGAAGCTAAAAAATCTAAACAAAAATGGGGCCTGGCTGGGCTCCTTCTGGGCTGGGACCATCTAGAAGTCAAACCAATCTCGAAATTTCCTTCCTGAAGTGTTGATCTTTACCTGTCCGAAGCCTTTCCTTGGCCAATAAGACAGTACGAAATAATAGCCATCCGAAAGCAACTACGTAAGAATGATCATGACCGCCGCAAGAAAGAAAAATCAACATACAAAAATTACGGTGAAGAAAGAAGGAACCTGGTAGATCTTTACTCTTCCCACTCACTCACACTTCGCTCCCTCGTCCATCCCACCGTGCTCCTCCAACGGTGAAACAAACTTAACAGCAGAGCACGGGAGGATAGATAGATTGCTTTGTAAAAACAACAGCCCTAGCATTTGGTTCCTGCTAACTTTTTCCATTTGGGAAGGGTCTTTGGGTTAGTTCGTGATTCATGATGAAAAGCCTCATGATTAGTTCTAATCTCACCCCCCTATTAATAAATACGGCACCCCCCTCAATTATTAAAAAACCCTCCCAAAAATAGTTCTTTAATTGGGGTTTTTGGGGTTGGGCTTTTTGCTTTTCCAACAATGTGAGGGTTCACATAGGATTTGGAGGAAATGGATTGAATTGTAAGGTCCGCGAGTAAGCAGTTTAATAAGGAAATTTTATGTATCAATCTATTTGTTTTTCAGTTTACTGGTTGTTTGTTTGCAGCCAGGCAGGTTAGGTAATTAATGAGCCAGCATGTACGGGAGAGAGACAGTTGCAGCTAGACAGCTTTTAGGGACAGGTAGCCAGCATATGCGCGAGACAGGCTGGAAGCTTGTTAAAAGTGCCCCCTAACAAGGATTCCAAGACTTTAGTAAGGGTTTAGTATTGGCTCGATTAAAATCAATTCTGCGGAGTGGAAATCTGCTCCCGGGCCCCGGATTTCGATTTTATTTCTATTAATTGGGGTCATTCATTAATAGGGGGATTTTGTTGGCATGCTTAGCACCATTTACGTTTGTTGATCTCAAGACGTAAAACCACTCCAAACATGAAATCAAACAAAGAACTCCTACAAACGTGAAGTATATAACGGTCGAAATTCTCATAAGGACAACTTACAACATCTCCGTCGATTGCCGTGTTTTTGCTTGCTTTGATCCGTCAAAGGCAAGGGAGAGAGGCAGGTGAAAGAATCCCACGCCCATCTGATATCTCCTCCCATCTCCGCATTTCTGTAGTTTGAAACTTGAAATGCGATGCACGTCAAGGATCAGTAGAAATCAAACATTTTCCTTGGCTAAAAGAATTGAACGCCTTGTCTCTCGTTTTTTTGTCTTGAACCACCGCGTTGCTCGAAAGGAGCGAGGGCTGGAATGAAGAAGAGAGAAACGGACATCAAGATCATTTTGATTGATCTCAAAGAAAGTTGAGGAGACATGTCCACAGTATGGAAGCTACTTGAACAGTAGCTTTCACAGCCAAATTCTTTCAAAAGACCTTCTCGCTTTTCAGCTGAAATATTTTCTAAGCATGTTCTTGGAGATTACTTCTGGACCAGGAGCAAGTAGGGACTGGATGGTGACTCGCCCCCGCACAGGCATCCATTGGAGCGAGATGGAAACAGTTTGCGCACCATATCCATTCCCTTCCTTCACCACGCCAGCCTCCCTTCCATCGCGAGGCATGTGGGTGATGGGAAAGACAAAGGGATCGTCCAATCTCTCCCCCCGTCAGACTTCAGATTCTTACCTGACACAGATCCAGGGCCACAGAGACTGCTACCACAGTGAGTATCTTCTCCTTAGGGAGTAGTTGCCCCCGGTCCGGGACTCATCCCCCCGCCCCCCCCGCCCTATATTTTGCCCACCCCAAGCTCCAAAACCAGCTTTGGTTTGGCTTGACACCATCTGGCCATTGGGTCAAAACCCCGTACCCCCAGTGAACATCCCACTCCCCACAAAAATAGGCTCTAAAAATGGGTGCTGCACCGAAACCCCAAAAACGGTACCATTGGTTTGAACCATCTCAGAATCTCCCCCGCCTCAAGTACTCCTTCTGCGAGGGCAAGGACTGGATCTTGAGATTCCGGAACCGCGCGTTGGCGTCCTTCGTCGGAACCTGACCCGGCGAGAACCAAAACCTGGCAGCTCGACTGGTGCCGGGCCTGGGCCTGTGCCTTCAGGCTCCGTTTTTGTTTGGCTACCATTTGCTTGTTTGCCCCCTCGAAACAAACACATAAATCAATTCCAGGAACAGGAACAGGTCGGACATGAAAAAAACACGTCTCGCACATGGAAGATCGATCCAGTGGAAGGCTTGCACAGCAGTTTACAATTGCTTTTTCGGTTCCTGGAAGAAAATAAACATGTCCAGTGGTGAAATCGATTCCCTTTAAAACCAACAAGGGAAAATATGAAATATTCGTTTCAGCAAATGGAAGCTGGTCGTTTTTGGAGGTTCGGGAACCCAAATCCCAAAGTAGCCCCTGCAATGGGGTCTCCAGATCGTTGGCTTCTGAAAGGAAGCAGAAAACAGGGCGCCGTACCTTTCTCAACCATCAGCGTTCCCTTCAAACAACATACAGCGCTTTATCCTGGTGTGGATATCCCGCTCAGAGGAAGAATGCTCCCCCTATACAGGCGCCGTACGCGTCCTAAGTACGGCTCGGGACAATCCTGTGGATACGCGCTGAAGACCTGCCAAACATAGGGATCGCCACGTGCCTGCCATTGTGGTTGGTCTGTTCCTAGCCTGGGTTTGGAAACCCTCGTCATGACTCATCACAAAGCCGAAACGACGAATTTGGGTGGGTCTTTGTTGAGGGAAGCCTTTTCTGGCCAAAGCCAAAAGCCTGCGTTGGATTGGGTTCCATATTGTCAGACAGGCCAATGCCAATAGACCGGTGAATTTTCTTGGGGGGTGAACTCTTTTCGTGGGGGGTTCAGACCAGGCTTGGAGGGGTTCTCATTCTCAGCCATAGGTGTCCTTTTGGCACTTTCGATCGAGTGAACGAACTTTTGCATTTTGTCAAACCCCAACTATTTGGCCAACTCGAACCCGTCCAAAGCAGTGGAACCCATCTACTTGGCATCATCAAAACACCGATCAAAAGGACACCCGTGAATCCAGGCAACCAGAAAAACCAACCACACTCAGCCAAAGAAAAAACAAAAAAGACCGCCGACTCCACCAAGCCCCTGGCTTCGGAGAAAAAGAAAAAGAAAAGACGCCCGAGTTTCGCGGCTGTCCCGTTTCGCGGCATTCCGGTAGACTCGCACGCGGCTCGCGGCTGGCGTGCGGCACGCGCCTTGGGCTCCACCACCACCCGGTCGCCCTGCTGCCAGTTCGCCGGGGTGGCCAGGTTGCAGTCCTGGAGCCGAACGGAGCCGAACGGAAGGCCCGCCCAACGCGCGAGGGTCCGAGTCGAGGGGTTTTTGGGGCCTCCAAAGTGTTTTTTAGGGGCCCAGGAATTGGTCGGGGTGCTCCATTAGGAATTGGTCCCTTCTGGGGTCGGGGCATTGGAGGGGTCATATGGCAGTTGATCAATATTCTGTTTCAAGAAAACGCCATCTTCGCGAGAAAAAAAGTTTCTTTCGCGAATCTTTCGCGACTCCATCGCCACGCCCTTTTGTTTGCAGCGTGCGCTCTGGAGCCATTGTGGCTGTGCAGTTGTGCTTGCAAACACGGTAGCCGTAGTTCACTTGCGTGCAGTACGTAGTGTCAAGTGCAGGCAGTCACCGTCATTCGCCCTTGCCACTTGCGGTTGCCGGCGATGCGCGGAACCTTGCAACAAGCTCCCTGGCCTTTCGCCGGTCTTTCGCGGATCTTTCGCGAAACTTGCTCCAAAATAGCCCAGCCAACGTTATTGATTTGCACCAATCCCAACACAGGCAGGGAATCAATAATGCAAGTGTAGGTGCTGCGTATCTCCCTCTGTACAAGGGAGCGGGGTCTGCAAATATGTAAGTGCACAGGCAGGCCTCCAAGAATTCAACGCGGAACCTTTCGCGAAAAAAATAAGTTTCTTTCGCGAACTCCATCGCCGATCTTTCGCGGAGGAATTTAAGCCAAGACGAATGGTCACCGAATACATAACTCCTTGCAAGGACCTTTTGATCAACCCCCATATGACCCTTAGCTTCTTTCTGGGAGCTGCCCCATGCCCATTCTTTGGAAGCCGAACATATGTTCAGGAAGCCGGGAGAAACATTCAAAACCAGGAACCCCAATCTTTTCAGGAAACCCTCAACCCAGGCATTCTTTCCAGGAAGCCGAAAATCTGATCAAACCCTCAACCCAGCAAAAACAACCGGAAACGTTTCGGGGTTCAAATCCAAATCCAAAGCAACAATCCAAACATCTCAGGGGAATCCAAACCACGCAGGGGAAGCTGACACTGGTTGAACCACATTCTTCTAAGGGTAACTTCCCCATATGCGAGTTGGTTCCTAGTGAAGGATCCTCCTTGGTTGTAACCCAAGCTGGCCGAACACCGTAGCAACGCTGACCCGCGAGAAAACAACTGTTTATTTATGGGGGGCTGCTTCTACCTGTGAAATGTGGGGATTCAGCCCATTTTTGGAGGGGGCCTCCACCCTCCCTAGGAATAGACTGGGGTTGATTCACAGGGGGTCAGCATTACCCCAAATCCGCGCCGATCCGCTCGCCTCGCTGATTTTTTCTCGTACCGCTTTCGAAGCAATTCGAGTGAGTGGTGCAACTGACCCCGGGCCAGGGTGAACATCCCACTCCCCACAAAAATAGGTTCTAAGATGGGTGCACCGAAAACCCCAAAATGGGATCCCAAAACGGTTTTGAACCATGGCCATATAGGTTTTGCTGACAACAAAAACATGCGGTTGGAAGGGGGCCCAAAGGAAACCCAGTAGATCCCAGAAATCCTTCGATCCATCTTCACCGTGTTTCCTTTTTGTTGGTTTAAATTGGGTGGGAAACTTGTTGGTTACCTACTACAAAACCAGGGAGCATGGAATGACTTGGAGGAGCCAGTGCCAGCTTGCCTGATTTGTCATGTCCAAATCCAAAATCCCAACTTTCAAGGGCACTGAAGGGGCGTTTGTTTTTTGCAGGACTTTGTGGCTTTCAAGGAACCCCCCCTTGGCATCGCAGAAATGGATCGAAAAACCACACGTCCAACGACGGGTTCAACTCCGAAAGCTCACCTCCTGAGTGAAAAAGGCGTAACGGCGTAGCTTGTGGTACCGTCTTGCCAAAATTCCTTTCACATCCAAGACCCCTCCATCATGATTTGGACCAAGGATATATATATATATATATATGCAAGAAGGGTACCTCTTCCCAGCCGAAAGGACTGAAAGCTGATCGCCTTTTGGGCCCAGTAGAGAGATTAGAATAAGGGTACCGTTTCTTTCTTCTGTAGTCTATTTTAGTAGGGGAGCCCTCCCCCCCAACAAAAGGTAAAACGGGCACCACTGGGAGACTTAGTTTCCAAAAATGGACCAGAACTGGAAACCAAGAGATCAAAAGGTCGATTCTCATTAGACAAGTAAGTCTTGCTGAAGCTTGCGCCTGTCTACCCGCGCAAAAGCTCCTGTGCAATCTACCAGCAATTGTCACAATCGAACCTACCGAAGAGGTCGACCCAAAGCCATACTCAATTGCCCTGGATGGGAGACCCTTGGCTCAATATGGGAACCCAAGTCAGGGAAACCAAAGTGATGCACAAAACCCACAAACCGCACCAGTTGTGGACGAAACCCGACTTGACTGATTGAGAGGCCAGTCCCGGACATTTCGCACCGAGTCCTCTTTGGCTGGATCATTGTCCTAAAATGAACCCCGGGTGAAACATGCTTGTGTTCAAATTTTGCTGGGGGAAAATCGGAAACCACGTCCTCCAAACCTTGGGCTCTTCCATTTGCTGTTCGCCCCCTTGGGAAAAAACGAGAAACTATGTCAAGTAATTAGTGGAATCGATTCCATTTTTTACCAAGAGGAAAACATGAAACAATATTCATTTCAGCAAATGGAAGGGGTCCAAAGAAGAAAAACACAACGCGAAGAAAAAACATTTTTTTCTATCGCGGATCCCATCCCCCAAACCGGTTTTGGAAGTGTAGCTGACTTCGACACATGTCAAAAGGCCGATGATTGAACTGCCAGGTAGGCCAGGGCCCTGGATTTTGCAACCAAAGAGGACATATATATATATATATAGTGTGTGTTTTCTTTGTTATCATCATTTGATTTTTTTCGGGAAGGGTTGGCCTGTGAAGTTGTCCTAAACCTAAAACTGCTGTCCTAAGCCCAAAAACTGGCACAGAAGAGGAGGGTTGTTCGACCCATAACCATGGTTGGCGCTTTCAGAGCTCGTTCTAACACCAACTCCCATGTCCAAAAGCCCCTTTGATACTCATCTCTACTCTTGGTATGGTAGCGAAAAACTTTGTTTTTGCAGACCCCCAGTAAAAATGAACAGAACCAGAAAACTAAAAAACCAAAAAACATGCCAAGAACCGTGAAGTACTGAGTGAGAGAGAACATCCACGACTGGAATTTACCCCCCCCCCCCCCCCCAAAAAAAAAAAAAGAAAAAGAGGAGGCCTTCAAAACTTGGCTGTTCCAAGATCCTCTGCGAACAGCTTAACTATTAGTGGTTTAATGGAATCTACCACCAAACCAAACAACAACCACTAACAACACCAAAGTCGACCTCCATTGCTAGTTGAACCACCGAAAAAACCCCATGGCAACCTCCGAAACCCGCGCTCGCTCGGGCTCGCCTTCGTAAGGATCAGCGAGTCCAGAACCCGCAGGATCTCGAAGAAGTTCAGGCCCGTGGACATCGGGTAGTGCATGCCTCGGGCAGCCGGCGCTTGAGCACCCGAAACCCGAAACCCCAGCTGACTTGTGCGTAGTGGACGTGGGAAGGCGAGCAACAAATATTTAGATCTTCGCAGTTAAGTGGATTTGGAGTTCAATCACTAAACCACAAGAAGCAAACATGTAAAATGTGAACCAACAATGTAACAACAACCATGTGTGGTTCCATGGTTGAGGTTTCAGTTCCCGGATCTTCCCGGATGGATCCGCAAGAGCAGGTCTGACCCTTTTGGTTTGCCACCGGAAAAGTCGGACACTTCTCTTTTGCCGCCAAAATGGTTGGTCCAAACCAAACCCAAAAAGTCGAAAGTCCCCAAATTGGAACTCATCGAAGTATGGGCAAAAAAACGGCTTGGTGAAGCCGGGTAGTAGAACTGCCTACGACAGTGGCCAAACAAATTTGGGCGCAGAGAATTAAAAGTGGCCAGACAATGTTGGGTGCCGACTTCTGGCACCAAATGGGCGGCTCGGCTTTTTGGAGCGCACCCTCGGAAGTCCAACCCGTGTTCTTCCATTTGCTTTTTCGCCCCCTGGACAAAAATACAAATACGTCCAGTAGCGATAGATTCCCTTTAAAACCAACAAGGGGGGGAAAAAAACTTTTTTTCAAATGGAAGCTTTGAGGCAGAACAGTTTCATAGGGCCACCCCTGGCCGTTGTGTTTTTTCCCCATGCGACCAAAATCCCCCAAAAGGTGGCCTGAGAAAGCGGCGCCTCGACCCTCAAAATTCCGACTTAACGATGGGTTGCAACAACATGATGGTTGGAAATCCGTTTTTACGGATAGTTCTTTCGGGTCCGGGTGGTCTTCTACTTGCACGCCTCTGATGGGCAAGGGCAAACAATTGCCTGTGGGCCCCTCTCCCTTTAGGATCCAAACCCATCCCCCTCGAATCTCCCGGGCTTCCCCCAAATATGATGAAAGGACTCAATCTCAATCCACCCTCCCAAAAAAGAATCCCCTGCTTTCTCCAAATTATGTGGATGGACGAAATCCGTTCGCACCACTTTGAACCCATAGTTGAAACCACTGTTTGCTACGGGTATATACCAGTAGAGCCGGCGAAGCCGGTGGGCGGAAGTTTAAAAATATAAAAACTATAGTTTTCTTTCTCTTTCTTTTCTTGACTCTTCTCTCTTCTTCTGCCTTTTCATTGTTTCTTTTTTCTCCGTCATTCTTCCTTTCTTCCTTTCTTTCCTTCCTTCCTCCCTTCTTTCCTTCTTTCTATCTGTCTTTTCTTTCGTTCTTTCTTTTGTCTCTTCTCTGTCTATCTATCTGTCTATCTGTCTATCTATCTATCTATCTTTCTATCTATCTATCTCTTGTTTAATCTATCTCTCTATCTGTCTGTCTGTCTATCTACCTATCTCTCTCTCTCTCTCTCTCTCTCTCTCTATCTGTCTATCTTTTTATCTCTATCTATCTATCTATCTCTCTATCTATCTATCTATCTATCTCTCTATCTATTTATGTATCTATCTATCTATTTACCTCTCGATCTATCTATCTATCTAATGTATTTCTCTATCCAGCTACCTATCTAGCTATCTATATCTCTATCTCTCTTTCTATATACTTATCCATCTATATCTCTATCTATCTATCTATGTGTCTATCTAGCTTCTGTTGGTTTATCTATCTAACTATTTATCTCTCCATCTATCTCTCTATCTCTCTTTCTTTCAATCTTTCTATCTCTTTCTTTCTATCTGTTTGTCTCTCTATCTCTTTCTCTCTATCTCTTTCTATCTATCTATCTATCTATCTATCCATCTATCTCTCCCTCTACCTCCCGCGTGTCTATCTATCTATCTATCTATCTATCTGCCTATCTCTCTATCTATCTATCTCTATCTATGTATCTCTATATCTCTCTATGTATCCCTCTGTCTACCTATCCCATCTCTTCATCTCTCTATCTATTTTTATATATTCCGAATTATCTATAGATCTACCTATCTATCCATCTCTCTATCTACCTCTCTATCTCATTCTCTCTACCTATCTATCTATCTACCTCTCTATCTACTCATCTAGTTACCTAGCTGTCTATTTATTTATTTCCCTATCTATCTACCTACCTATCTATCTCTCTCTCTCTCTGTTTCTATCTATCTCCATCTATCTACCTATCTATGTATCTATCTCTCTCTCTCTATCCATCTATCTTTCTATCTCTTTCTCTATCTCTTTCTATCTATCTCTCTAGCTATCTCTCTATCTGTCTATCGATCTATCTATCTATCTATCTATATCTGCACTTAAAAGTTGCGATGTTCCAGCCCCAGCTGCGAAAGTGGACTTCGCGTACTACTTTCGTACTTAAAAGTTGCGATTTTCGAGCCCCAGCTGCGAAAGTGGACTTCGCGTACTACTTTCGTACTTAAAAGTTGCGATTTTCGAGCCCCAGCTGCGAAAGTTGACTTCGCGTACTACTTTCGTACTTAAAAGTTGCGATTTTCGAGCCCCGGCTGCGAAAGTTGACCTTGCAAAAGTGCTGCGCCTGCCACGACATCTGTACTTGACCTTGCGAAAGTGATGCGCCTGCCACGAATTTTGCACTTGACCTTGCGAAAGTGCTGCACCTGCCACGAATTCTGCACTTGACCTTGCGAAAGTCATGCGCATGCCACGAAATCTGCACTTGACCTTGCGAAAGTGCTGCGCCTGCCACAAAATCTGTACATGACCTTGTGAAAGTGCTGCGCCTGCCCCGAAATCTGTGCTTGACCTTGCGAAAGTGCTGCGCCTGCCACGAATTCTTTACTTGACCGTGCGAAAGTGCTGCGCCTGCCACGAAATCTGTAATTGACCTTGCGAAAGTGCTGCGCCTGCCACGAACTCTGCACCTGACCTTTCGAAAGTGCTGCGCCTGCCACGCAATTCCAAACCTAGGGAAAACTCAACCTTGCGAAAGTGCCGCGCCTGCCACGAAATCTGCACCTCACCTTGCGAAAGTGCTGCGCCTGCCACGCAATTCAACCCTTGCGAAACCTCCGCGTTGCCGTGCCAATGGGCCCGCGCTCCGAGCATGGTCCGAGACTGCCCGAACGCGCTCCGAACGCGCTCCGAACGCGGTCCGAACGCGCTTCGACCAGGCGCCGCGAACAGGCTAGCTTCCAGCTCTCCGGAGACACCAATTCACGCACGGGGCCACGCTTTTTGCAGATTCCTTACTCCCACCACACGTGCGTGCATATTTTCTCGCGTGCTTATTCCTTCTCTTCATCTGTCTCAGCGAGAGCTGGCTTTCAAAGTGTTGCCGTAACACGGAAGTTCCTTCTAAACTTCCTTTGACAAGGAAATCATCATTCCGGGGTTTCTTAGGTGGTGCGAAATACATTTCGTCCATCTGCAGCATGACCTGGAGCCCTTATTCAGGGTCTTTGAAGGAAATCAGGGGCGGGGACGCGGAGGGGGTGGATATGGGTTGGATCCCATGTTTTTGCAAGGGGGTGACTCAATCGTCCATTTCCGTTTTCGCCCCCTGGAAATAATAATAATAAACATGTCCAGTAGTGATAGATTCCCTTGAACACCATGAGGGAAAAAACTTATTCTTCTTTTTACATGTTCTTAAGCAAATGGAAGCAAGGGCACCACCCTTCGGCAGCTTCGGAAGTGGAGCTCTCGCCGCGAGGGCGGAATTTTGGTCCAAGCCCCAGTGCCAGGAGCCAGGGAGTTGGATCTCCGCAGACTTCCACTTGCTTGAGACCTTTTTTCTTGTTTTTCTTCCCCTTTTGGTGGTTAAAGGGAATCGATTTCACTACTGGAAATATCATCTATTTTCTCCAGGGGGGCGAAAAAGCAAGTGGAAGCAAAGAGATATATCCGGGGGATTGTCTTTTAGGGGAACCATGTGGTGAGTTCACCAATGGGTCAACGGGGATAAACCCAAGAAAAAAAACATCCTTCGGGTGCCTGAAAAGGGACCAGGGGCGTGGTTGGTCAAACAAACTTTCCAATGAAACCTATCCCAAATGCTCGCAGTATGTGCCACACATGTACCCTCCAAATGGTCAAGTATGGGCTAAGAAAGGCCCCCAAATGGTTTGGTTTGCTTCCGGAGCAAGCCAAACAGGTTTCCTAAGATGTGAATTGGCCATGGGTCAAAATCCGTGTTTTTAGTGAACATCCCAATCCCCACTAAAATAGACCAAAATGGCGGTGCACCTACCCCAAAATGGTACCATTGGTTTTGACCCACAGCCAATTCAAGCGGCTTTTGCGCTTCAACACCGTGAAGGTCGAAAAACCGGAGGTCTGCACAGGGGTACATTGAAACCATTCTCAACCCATCCATCTGTTTGGTTCTTCCAGAAAACCGCGCAACAACCCTGTTTCAATACGGCTGGTGTTGAGAGTGAGCCATGTTGAAACGAATGGAGAGTCAACCCCCAAGATCTCAGCTGAATGGAAATGAACCAATTCAAGATGAGAAAAGACACAACAAACAAACAAACAAACAAACAAACAAACAAACAAACAAACAAACAAACAAAGCAAACAAAGCAAAGGATGGAGCCACTTCCACTAAGACTGCCTCCTTTGGAAGTCCGAAATCGGTAAACGAAGCGGCTGACCCACGCACCGGCAAGCTGCTCAAGCGCAACTTCTTGTCCTTTCCGATCACGAAGAGGCCACGTGCCGGAGAGGTGTCCTTGTTGGGGGACTCCGCTGGCAAAAGGCCTCAGATGAGTTCGTCGAATTCGTGGAATCTCATGTCTCAGAACTGGATCTCAGGAGCCCATGCTCAGATTCCCATGTTTTCTGGGTGGTTTGGAGGTTAGGAAGTGGTTTCCCATTTTCCCTCTACCACCCAAGCCACCAATCACCAACCACCAACTAGGGGTTGCCTGACATTCAGCTTTCTGCGATTTTGCCACCCGCTCGGCACTCATGTGGTGTGGAGGGCCCTGCTTGTTCCAGGACAGTTTCAGCATTGAACTTTCAACTGCAAACCTCTCCCGTCCACCAACCTTGCGCCATAGAAAAAAGGGGGGCATATGTTCAGACTCCGTTTCATATTCAGTCTGCCCCAAGATATACTTTGTTCATAGTTCTGGAGGAGACCAAGCGGGACACTCTTCTTGCTGGTGGGCCTTTTAAAGGGAACCACCTCCTTTTCAAAAGGAAAATCCGCGCCACAGGTCTCCAGAATCGGTGTCCAACAGAAAAACCTGACTGCCCGGTGTGACTCAGAATTCAAGAACTACTGTGGATGGACGAAATCCGTTCGCACCACCTAAGAAACCCAGGTTGAAACCACTGCTTGTTGGTATTTAAAGCAGACATCATCATTCCAGGGTTTCTTAGGTGGTGCGAAACACATTTCGTCCATCCACAGTAGGGAAACGCAGGTTTTAGTCTTTGGTTCCATTTTTGAGCCACAGACATATGGACCAAATCACGGAAACCAACTGGTGAGGAACGGTTGTTTCGCTTTGGTAGCAAGTGAGCTAATGTTGACCCCAGATTAATCCAGTTCATGAATAGCGGGGTGTCCCTGAGTGAAATGTGGGAATCAGACCACTTTTGGAGGGCCTCCACCCCCCTAATTATTAATAACAGGGGTTGATTACTCTGGGAGAAACATTGCTTGGGTTTGCACATTGCTTGGGTTTTCAACCGACGTGGTAAGTGGGTTACAAGGGGACGATCACCCCAGTTGCCCCAGCAAAAAATACATGGTTGCAGATTGCTTGCTAACTTGGCCAACACGCAATTCGTATCTCCGACGACTCTTGATTTCCCGCAGAGGACTTACTCACTTCTTTCGCAGCGCCAAGACGCCCAGCTCCACCGCGATGTGCTGCGTTTTGTCCTTTGCGGAGGCTTGCCCGAAACTCCGTCGCCATGGTGCATTCGGATTCCACAGCGGCAACCGATTCGTGGCTTCTGATTTGCCTGAAAAGGCTTCCCTAACAAGTGTTACCTCGAAACACGGTCCCAATTTGTAGCTGTTCATTTTGAGGGTGCCCGTTTTTAGTGGGTTTTCAATGGAGCTTCGAGGGGGAATGGAGGGGGTTCCCCCTAAAGAATTCGGTGTGTCTCACTCAAAATAGTGGATTCAATACCCAGGACATTCACCACCCGGAGGGGGCCCCACCCACTTTTTGGAGACACACCTCACTTCCTAAGTGGATTGGCCAACAAAAAGGTCATTTGTTTCACATTTACAACGAAAATGGTCCACTAACCCAAAAAAACAAAGTTCACGAACTCAGGGATTGAGACACCCATCCAATTGTAGGATACCATTATAATGGGGCAAACAACCACTGGCGACCTCAGAGAGGCGAATGGGCCCCGTCAGCTCAACCTTGTGGGATGCGAGGAAAAACTCACGTGACCAAAACAGAAAGGCCCACAAAAGAGGTACTTCAACTGCTGTCCGCTTTCAGATCCCTCGCTACAAGTGACTAGCTTGTGTGTTAAATGGAAATCTAACCACTAAAACAATTTAAAATCTTAACAGCTAAGGGGATGACTGGCAACCACCAAGTAAAGGGGGACAGTACATAGTAAGTGGCTAGCAAGCCTGGTTATAACCCGCTTAGGAGACTTCTGGCGATGGTAAGTGGGTTAGGACCATGGTTATTGCCCACTTACTAACTACAACCCCCCTTTAAGTAGGCCACTAGCCGGCTGTCGTTTTTCGAGGCTCACCTTCTTTTGTTTTAAAGGGAAACCGAACTGAACATCCCCACCCATTGAGGTGATTGAACAAAAAAACGCTCAGGTGATACTCCCAACAGCCTGGGAACCTGCCGGAAGCTTTCCTCAAAGATGCCCCGAACCGCTCCGCTCCGGAGCGTATTTTTGGGGCCTATCGGCCCGCAAAAGGAACACCGAAACTTGGTGTCCATGAAACCTGGGGTTGCATTTTCCCTTGGGTGCCCTTCTAAAGAAAGTTGAAACCCAAACTCCCGGTGAATTGTGGGGAAAAAACGACTTGGCACTCTCTGTTTGGTGGTCGTTCTTGTTTTGGAAGGGACACCCCCTCAACAAAAAGACAGGGACACTTTTAGGCACCACTACCAGCTACTCAGGGAGAGTGGCAGCCGAACGGCCAAGACTACACAAACATGACCCCAACTCTTACTTGACTGTTCGTTCCTTTAAAGGAGTTTACCCTGAAAGGATTGAGACATGGATCCCGGAGTACAGGACCTACAGTGACATCTCTGGTTCAACCCTCCCCTCAAGAATCGGCATCACGAGCGAAATATGGGCAAACACCTTCAGGAAACGACTTCCCTAGTGGATGGGTCACTTCAGATTTGCCAAGGCATATCTCACTTCCTGATCAGTCAGGACTCCCATATCGCCATGGCACCTGACAAACAAATAGTCCCTCCAAGTGGAAACTGATCTTCCACAAGTTCCTGCCAAGTTTGCTTGAGTACGGGAGAGCCATGCAGACCAACATCTTTCATTTAAGCTTCCACTTTGGGAATCACCCGCGTCTCGCTGTGCAACTCACAGTTTAATTAAAACAAAACACAACATCAAACAGCGTTTTCTGAAAGCCAAGAAGCAACCCCAACATACAGGAAACCCGACAAAACACAGATAGAAACATGCAATGAGCACATGTCCAACCAGGGATGTCCCTTCATCGGGGCTTCTGATTTTCCATCCCAAAGAACCCAGCACCATATGGCATAGAATTGCCTGAAATGACTTGGACTCGACTGCACATCCTGAAACAAAACAACTCGCTGCCTGAGTCTAGCCAAAAAGAATTCGAACTTGCTATTTGCCAATCATGTTGACCGGATTCGTAAACCCGTCCCATTATTCGGGGGATGTGATCTGAATCCAACCACTAAAAGAAATTGGACACCTCGATCAAAATCAACCAGGGGTTCTGCTTAATCCGGGGTTAACATTAAGTTGGTCTTCCCAAAAAGCTTTAAGTCCAGTAACAAACCGTCCGTCAGCGAGACAAAGAAGCAACAAACCGTCCGTCAGCCCCCCCCCCCAACCACTATCACGTCCCATTCCGTCTGCAGCGTGGGTTCCGCAATCATGGTGAAGGGAAGATCCTCCATGGTGTGAGTTTCACCTCAGATTTAGATCAGAGCTAGGCACCCTTTGGTCGGCTGATCTTAAAGAGGGCTTCCGCCGTTCACCCACAAGTTCAACACAACACCTTCCCGACAAAAAGGAACACGAGACAACGGCACAAGGAATTCCCAAAAGGTCGAGGTCTAAGGATCTAACTCTTTAGGAACCACCGGCGTTGCAAACCTTTTTTTTTCTGGCGTGACATGGGTGTGATTTTTTGATAACATACCCCCTGAAGTCACTTAGGTAGGCACCAACCACGTTTCAACGGCTTTCCGACCGGCAAAAATCTCCGGTGGTCAGAGGCCTACCCAACGAGGGACCCCCCCGCAAAAAAAGGAACCCTATCAGCCCCCCTACCAATTCTGGCCTCATTCGTCCCAAGAAAGCGCCCCGATGGGAGCTATCGGAATCGGCCCCGGGTTAAGATGTTCGCGTGACCTGTCGCTTGCTGCTGGGCCGCTGAGAGCAATGGCATCTTTGATCCAATGCTCCAAGTTCTCGACTTCGTCGCAGGTCATGCCCAGCCTGGGACATATGATCAAAGTGTGTCATATGGATTCTGGTTGAAAATTCGGGGTTTATATCGACTAACGTTTTAACATCCTCTCTGATACCGAAGTGACCAACCAAGTACAACTACTCTGACAGTTTGTAGGGTATGATGTCAACCCGTACTAAACAAGGAGGTATTCTGGGAAACTGTTCTTCCCCCGCAAATATGCAAAAGTGGTCTTTCGCAGAACAATCAAGAGGTTTCCCCGGCAAATGCATGGCTTAAAACCCAGAACTGGTGAAACCCATCGATTTTAAACTCATTGATCAAAAGGATATCTACTGTGGATGAACGACATCCTGCACCACTTGAAAACCATGAGAAACCATTGCTTGCTACGGTATCTACAGGGAATCATAATTTCGGGGTGCGAAATGGATTTCGTCCATCCAGTATGTGTCCTTTTTGAGGGGACCAGGTTGGGTGAATGATTTTGATCCACAATTCCTCAGTTCGAGGCATGCCAAAGTAGGGAACCGGCCATCATGGTTTCAACGTGGTATTTCAGACCTTCGGTGAACCAAGGGTTGGAGTCTGCCAACCCTGGACCCCCAACAGGATATGGGAAAACTAAGTGGTCTCCTTGGCTTCTGTGTTGGAAATTGGGTTTATTTGGGTTTGTTCTTTTTTCTGTCCTCCCCAAGCCAAGGGCAGACTATCACTAAATCCAGTTGCTCATATCCGCGTGGCTTATTCTAAGGGTACCTTGTTTTGTGGTTTTCAGGCGGTGCCATAAGGAAGCCTCTTTTCTTTTTGGGGGGGGGGCTAAAAGGACAGCCCCATCCGATTCAGTGCCCACTTAGGGGAGCCATTGCAGCAGAAACAAGTGACTGGCGAGCAGTCTCCGGAGATTCTTTGCACTTGCTGTGCATTGGCCCAAAGTCTACAAACTTGCTTGCCAGGCTTGCCACATGGCCCCGAGATACCATCTGATTTCCAGATCGCAACGTGAGGTCCCAGTCCCAACTTGCTCTGGTAAATTCCAAATCTGCCGTCGCTCGCTTCTTCTGAAACATGAGAGCGCAGATACCACGGAAGCACGGGGCCCGTCCTCCAAATGAGATCCATCTTCCAGGTTTGGGCGATTTCAGTTTCAGAGCTCCGGGGCGACATCCCAAAACCCATTCCCTTGGAACTGATTGCTTGAGCCTCTCAATCAGCTGCTCCCCTCTGCGATGTTTCCACTTGCACGTTTCTTTTGTTCTGTCCTAGAGGCCACAAGCAAAAGGGTCCCTATGCTGCTTACTTGGGTGTTCGATTCGCCAGGTTCGTAAGTTGTTTCAAGATAGTAAGTTGTTACCTGGTCAAGGCACGTAACCAAGGGAACCGCCCCAACCCCACAAGGAAAACATTTGGTTACCTACGTGCCGGAACGCCTGGGATCCACAAGGAAACTTCTTGAAGTCTGACTGGAGTCATGCTGACCCTTTGGGGCTTTTAGTCAGCAACTCAAATTGGCGGTTTCTCTTCAACCACTTGGGCTACTTTGATCCTAGTGGAGTCTCAGTACAGAAAAAACCTGACGCTTTATCCCAAGTCTTGACTGGATTGGACAGAAAAAAATGGCAAAAAAAGGAAAACCACACTGTGTGATTACCACTATGGTAATTAACACAACCCAAATTGGGTTTTCGTCCTTCTTCGGAACTCAGGCAAAGAAAGAAGGAATCCCAACGACTCACTGACCTGAGCTTGCCCCCAAATCCGTGAGCTCGCCTTGTTTCCCGATGCGGGATCTGACATGAGCGAGTCCCATGGTTGTGGTTGAAACATATTGAGTCACTTCCCAATGAGTGGATTGGCCCAACAATAAGTAAGTCTGAACTTTTTGCTTGCCTCTCAAATGGTCGTCGCAAAAAGTATCAAGTCCATGAACTCAAGAAGTAAGTTGAGTTGCCCCACGCTCCCCGCCCCCAAAATATAGAGGACTTCATTGCCAGACGCTCTTGAGTGGGGGTCTCAAACCTGGCTTCCAGATTGGTTCAACTTGAACAAAGCTTGAGGAAACAACGAACAACCCCGTAGACACATTCAAGTAGCTCGCCTTGACTCACCTCTCCCCCTGAGTGTCTGTGTATCTGTGTCCAACTAGAGACTTGCACCCCCGAACCGGTATGGTGGCGTTCTACTTGGCTCCCTTTGAGCGAATGCCCAAAAAGGGTGGCCCGGGCTAAACGGAACGCCATGTCTCGAACGGCAAGCTGAGGCTCCGGCAGGGTCACGTTCCTGGCGCGCAAGTCTGGGAGGATCTGCCTGAGCCAACAGAGCGTTGTTGAGCACATGCTTTCCGACTTTTAGGCGCTTGGACCCTGTGGACATAACTTGATGGGGGGAAAAATGTCCTTGTGGTTCCCCACTGACATTCACAGCCATGGACAATACACGCCAATTGGTGCAAAATGTTGGTCCTAACAACCCTAGAGTGGCTACAAAACTATGTGGCTCACTGGGCCAGACCCTCACACACAAACAGGGAATCAGAATTGGAATGAATCCGACAAAAACCCTATGCTTTCCTTGGAGATCCCCAAAACGGTTCATTCCCAAAAATCGGAATCAGTCAAACCCTACCTACCGGACAAGCAAGAACATGATGATCAACGTGTTCTAGGGTAGACACTCCAACTGCCCGCCTGATTCTAGGGCGCTTACACAGCCAGGATATGGTAATATTCATTACCTGTGTTAGTCAGGACTTGCCATCAAACCCTACAGTCGGAGTCGGGGGCTGGGGGGACAAACACACGCACAGTTTGCAAGTACGTGGGAAACGTTCGGCATTTCCGAACAATTGCTTCCATTTGCTTAAGACCCCTGGAAAAAATGAGAACATATTTCCAGTAGTGAAATCGATTTCCTTGTTTAATTCCAAACGGGAAAAAAACATTATCAAGCAAATGGAAGGGCTGCAAAGAAGAAGAAAAAAAGAAGGAAACACAAACGCGAAGAAGAAACCGTTTTTCCAATGGCGGATCCCATCCCCCAAACCGGTTTTGAGGAGCAAATGGAAGACTGAACAGACATCGGCATTGGTCAGTTGTCCGGCGCTTGGTTTTCAGCAGGTTCAACAGGTCTAACAAATGATTTTTTGCCTAGCAGGGTCAAATGTTAACTCAGATGCCCAGTGGCCATGGGAAAAAAGGGCACCCTTTTTTTGGTTGGTTGACTTTAAAGGGGAACCCGTCCAAAAAAAAGAAAAAAAGGCACCACTGGGCAACTGGATCAAAAGGCAGGTCAAACAAGTGATGGTTTCTGGGGCAACATCATTGGGGTGTCGGGTCTGTCCCAAAATGCCACTCAGGAAGTGAGATTTGGCCATGAAAAAGGAACAGGTGTCCCCCACAATGGCAACAGTTTCCTTTTGGCTCGCCTTTACCATTGAAAAAAGACGGGTTGCTGCTTGCCACTCAAATGGTCAAACGGATAAAGTCAGAAATGGAACTCAATGACTGAGTTGGAGAAGCCATCAAACCAAAAGGAATTTACAGGTTGCCACCAACCCGAGGACATGGAAGCAAAAAGAAAGGGCGTGCTTCTTGCTAATTATTGGAACCCCACGAAAAATACGGTTTGCCTTTAAAACCACCCCCAAAAACTCACTTCCGAACAAGCGCATGGGCCAAACAAGTAACTAGGTCCTCCAGTAGAGAGCTTAGAATAAGGGTAACCTTCTTTTTTCCAGTAGTCTATTTTAGTAGGGGAACCCTCCCAACCAAAAAAGAGTCGGCAACAGGGCACCTAGTCTCGGCTGACGTTGGAAGGGGAGCAAACAAAAATACTTGTTTAGCAGTTAAGTGGTTGGAGTTCAACCACTAAACCACAACAAGCAAACAATTAAAATGGTTCCCAACAACAACCATGTAATTGCTGGACCTAGGCTTCTCCAAGCTTCGTCCCGCTCCAGCAGCTCGGGAAGTGAGAAAAAAGGAAAAACGCCGACTCGAAAACCGGGGAGAACGACGCCCCCCTCCCCGCCCCCCGCTCCCCCCAAAAACAAAAACAAACGGAACAAAAAACAACAATCCCAAATTAATCACCTCCCCCAAACCAAAAAAAAAAACGACCCACCACACCGGGACCCCAAAAAACCCTCCCCCCCGACCGAAGCGGCTTTCTGCTCGGCCGAGCGAAAAGTCGGTCGAGTGGCAGGCAGCTCAGCAGCTCCGTGGTGCCCACAGGGTCAAAGTTCCGCGGCCACACAATCCTCGGAGAAAAAACCTGCAAAAACACCTGGGCCTGGAGTACCATGTGTATATATATATATATATATATATATATACCTAAAAAGGCATAAAACAAAAAACACTGGAGAAAAAAAACACGCAGGGCCACAGTGGAGCACAAAGTGTATGTCTATATCTATATATAGTTATTTTTGTATATACAGGTATGTCTCTATATATATATATATGTGTTTATGTGTATAGATATGTATATATATATATAAAAGGCATCAGGTACCGCCGGTACTGCTCACGCCGTGCCGTAGAGACCACAACAAGTCCGGTTATACAAGGCATAAAACACTGGCAAAGTACAGGTCAAACACACCAAACCCAGGGTCCATGGGGGGGGGGGGCACCATAGAATTAAAACAGGTATGTGGCATGTGTGTGTGTGTATGTGATAGGTATGTGCATGTGTACAAATATATTTATATATGTTTATTGATAGGTGTGTGTACCTGTATGAACTTTTAACTATGCATATGTATATATTTACGTGCATACATACATATGTATAATATATACACATACTATATTATATTATATATATATATATGTGTGTGTGTGTGTGCATGGTTTGTTTGTTTGGGGGAGGCCCATGCTTCCCCCCCAACCAACAATCAGGCCCCCGACAAACTACCTAAAACACGCGTTGCACCTGCTCAAATGATTTGCGTCAAACTGGCTCAGCGTAGATGGCAAATGAGTTGCTTTCAAGCATGTTCTGTGATATCCTTGCGACACAGGTGCCATTTTGGAAAATAGATGGATGGCCCTGGTAAATGGAATAACACCCATCTAAACCAATGCCATGGTCGACTGTACTTGTCAAACTTGGCCGGGCCCCTGAAACTCGACCGGTAGTTTTTCGGCTCTCACACGGCCACACGGATGGGGCTGAAATTGGTGTAAGATGATTTTGTTTGTGTGCTTGTGTGCGCGCGCATGTGTTTTATGGAGGGTCCTTCTTTGGATTGGCTTGAACGGAAGCCACAACAAAACCAATCATTTTGAGGGTCCAAATCCCAACTTTGACACACCCACCCACACACACACACATTTGCCTTCAAAACGCTTTCTTCCATCGAACGGCCGGAAAGGAATTCCAAAGGGGCCCTGCACACTGTGTCCCTGCCTCAACTTTGGTCAAACCGAGATCTTTGATTCGGAGAACTCGCCTCTTGAGTGGGTCCGCCAGAAGAGGCAACCACACTTGCCGTTGAGCACTAGCATGGCTCAAGTCCAATGACGATCCAGTCCGAAGCGGAACGCACAATACTTTGTGAACCGAACGCTGGGCATCACTCCTTCCTTTCAGCCCAATACCTGACCCCAAGGTCCTGCATTGTGAGCTCGGTTTACCCGAGCTCGCTGAACAAAGGGGTTGATAGGTTTACCTTGCAATCAGCAGAGCCTCCAAGCTAGCTGGTATCCTTTTCTGGCTTCTTCGCACCACTCCAAACAGGGGTCGACAAAAACAACATACAGAATCATATGCTAGGTCCTCCAGTAGAGAGGTTAGAATCAGGGTACCCTTTTTTCAGTAGTTTGTTTTAGTAGGGGAACCCTCCCAAAAAAGAGTAAAGGGGCACTACTGGGGGACCTAGTATATCATATCATGATACCAACCGTTCACCCAGTTGAGCCCGGTTGGCCCTTGAAGCACCGCCAGATCTGTCTTGCCAAGCCACATCATGATCAGGTCACCCTGGCCAGAGAGTTACTCCTCATGGATCTAATTGGAAACACTAGGTTGTCTCACTTCTGAACGAGTGGATTGGCCCAAAGAAGCAACCAAGCTTCTCATTTGGGGGTTCATCAGACAGGCCTTTACATGGGCATGGCCAGTGGGGAAACCATTGAACAAATGCGACATTGTCCGCACTGGAAAAGTGGCCTTTGGTCATTGCAGGCCCTGAGTGGCATTTGGATTCACCCTCACTTGCCACTAAAACTTATCCAAAGCCAAGGGGAGTTGTTTCATGCCCTCCGATTCAAGAGCGCTGGGCCCGGCTGTGAGAACCCCAAAAGTAGCCTACGGGAAGCCTCGGTGGAGGGTTTCAGTCTCATGAACTTGTCCCGGCGCTGGTGGGTTTCTTCCATGCTAGGGTGGTTTAAGATGTTGGGATGGGCTTGGGATGGGTTTAGGGTGGGTTCATGGTGGGTTTAAGTTCGTTCAGGGTTTTCAGGATTCAGGGTGTTTAGGGTGGGTTCGGGTTGGGTTTAGGGCAGGTTTAGGCTAGGTGTTGAATGGGTTTAGGGTATATAGGTGTTGGTTTTAAGTCTGGCTTGGGGGTGTTGGTTTACCAAGGGTTTAGTGTGGGTAGGTTTACGGTTACGGGCTTTGGTGGTTTAGGGCTGGTTTAGGTGGTTTAGGGTTGGCTTAGGGTGGGTTCAAATGGAGTTGGTTTGGTTGAGGATAAAGGCGGGTTTAGTTCGGCTTGTGTTTAGTTTAGGGTGGGTTTAGGTTGGGCTTAGACTTTTGAGGTTCATGCGTTCAAGGTGGGTCTAAGGTAGGTCCAGTTTTAGGGTAGGGTTGGGGCACGTTTAGGGCGAGTTCAGTGGGGTTGAGGTTGGTTTCTTGGGCTAGGCAGAGGTCTAGGGTGGTTTCGGAGTAGTAGGGTAGATGGTTTGTGTTTAGCGTTGTTGCTTGCTTGCTTGCTCGCATTCCAGGGAACTGGAAAAAAACTCATCCAACAGGAAAAGAGAGTGAATCATTTGGCACCGGTTTCCTCACCAGAAGGAACCACGCTAGTTGAACAGGGCAGTGGCCGAATTGGGTGGCTCGTCTTTGAGGTTCCACCCCGGAACAATGGCGCACCGGTTTTCCCTTCGGTTCCCAAGTCAACCCCAAAAATGGTACCTGCACCCTCAAACTGCCCATTGAAAAAGGGGACATGCCATAATTTAGTAGTGGAGGGCCTTGCCCCGCAAATAAATTGCTTCATACATACCCCCCACCCTACACTTTTTTTCATCTTCCATCTTCTACCCTTATTTGTTTTCATCATTTTTCTACATTCCTTTCTGTCCATCTCATCCGTTTTTTTATCATCATTTTTCCATTTTTTTCGCCATCCTTTTCTCCTTTCTCCTCGCCTCATTCATTTCATCATATACCTCTCAAAATGTCATTTCCTCAATCTCCTCACCTCATCCATTTCAAAAAAATAAATTTTGCAAAATATATTGCAAAAAATATTTGTCATCAAAAAAATATTCGAACTGTCTAAAAACGATTTGTCCATTTCCCGGACAAAAAATCGAACAGCAACAACATCACTCCCTCCTTCGTTTCATCAGTTTCATCATATATTTTAATAGGCGTGGTCGCATAGGTTGCGAGCTTCGCTAACGCTCGCGTGTCCCTTGTAGGATTTTATCTTCAATATATAAAACGCTATACTTACATTATAATTATAACATATAAGGGTATAAATGTTATTATTATAGTATGATTAATAATTATGGGTTACATTTATAGTCAGGAAAAATGTCTTCAAATATGTAATCTACATATTTATCAATATCGCCAATGTCTATATATTTGATATTGTCTTTTCCTATTATTGAATAAATATATTCCCAGAAAAACAAATTAACTAGTAGCCATACTTGATATTTAGTGTTGTAGTAAGACCATACATGATATTTAGTTATTCTAAATTCATTCAAGACCTCGTTTATTTTATCTTTACTTAATAAATGCCAATCAATCGCATCAAACATGCGTCGAAATTTTTTAACAAATGCTTTATATGGTTTAATTGCGTTTGTCCCTCCAAACCTCTTAATTAAATCTTTATTATTAAAGAACTCATTAATTTCTTTTTCAAATGACTTTCTAGCAATTTTATGGTAAAAACATACAGGACATCGTTTTTGATATTTCATAAAGAATTGCAATTGTAATTGAAACTTTGTATATCCCTTATCCTTATGTTCTTCAACAAAAAACTTTTCAAGGTCTCTTGTTATACAGCATTGACTACAATATACATCATATTCACTTATTTTATTACATAGATTGGCGGGTAATAACTTATACAATGTTATATTAACATCATTCCTTTTAGTTTTACAACATTCGCACTTTGAATAATTAAATAACATTTCCACTGTAATATATATAGTGTTGATTTCTTTAAATACTTTTTTACAAGAAATAAAATTACATATTGAAATATAATGATAACATATAAGATTTTACATGTTATTATTATAGTATGATTATAATTTCAGTACAGGATAATAATTTAATTGACAAATCTTTCTTCTTTCATACATCATTTTAAATATAATATTAATATCTATCACCATATTGTTAACATTAAACTGTTCACTTTCAATATATGATTTAATGATTTTTTTTACATCAAACCCTTCTTTTCTTTGATACTCCAACATCCATAATATGTAGTCAATCATTTCATACTTTTTCTTACTGATTCTCATAAATGCTCTAACATAATCATAAGGTGGTATTTTATACACAGTTAAAAATATCAAAATGTCATCTTCAACATTTCTTTCATTAAACCTTTTAATATCCAAATTACATTCGATTGCTTCTTGGTAATATCTCCAATTTCTACAAATTTTACATAAATTTTCTTTACCCAAAGAATAATCAATAATATTATTAACTATTCCATTAGGTAAATTCAATTTATATAATTCCATATTTTCTGTTTTAAAGTGGCAACAATCGTAGCATTTCCTATTGATATAATTATTGATTTCGGTTTCCATCATTTCTATTATAATATATATAGTTTTTATTTCTTTAAATACTTTTTTACAAGAAATAAAATTAAATATTGAAATATAATTATAACATATAATATTTTACATGTGATAATCATAGTATGACTAAATCGTTCCAGAAAAAATGAAATTGGGACTGGAGTCCCCGAAAATTGGGACTAGAGTCCCCGAATCCCACGCATTTTGGGTCAGAGTCCCACGCATTTTGGGT